AGGATTTTACAAAACGTATTGTTTAGAACAGTAGTTGCCAGTCTTCTAGTTGAAGGGCGGCTCTGATGTGAATACAAATATGCAAATGCCTCCACCCCAACCCAACACGTAAAAATTACTCAAAGTATGATTTAGAAATCTAAAAATAATTGCTTATGGACCTTATTGATATGCATGCAGTAGTTTTGTATTCAATTGTATGTTCATAATTAAAGTGGCATTTTCGTACAGTTGATATATACAAAATCTTCACAGTTGCCTTGTGGGCTGTGGTTCCATTGAGAAACATTGGTTTAGTATATAAATGCAGGTATTTTGAAGTCTTAGACTTAGAAAGAAAGGAAACTTGTAAAGGTATTTTGTATCATTTTATAATGTTTGTTTGCTACTTGAGAAGTTAATGCTAAAACAGTCCTCGTATGTTGCAGATATGTCTGATTCATTGTTTGATGAGAGGTCGCGTATAATAGTATAGTTTTCGTATCAGCCTCTGATTTTAGTTTTGTGTTTTGTATCTTGTATGTTTTTCTTTCCTTTGTCCTTGTTGTTCCCTCGTTGTTTGTTGGTGTGATGGTACTACCCTCCTCTGCACTTTGTGTGTTGCTGGGTTCCTGGTTTGGTGTGCATGCCCTGTTTGGGTCGTGTTGTGTGTCCTTGGTACCGGTGGTTTGCTCTGCCCCATTCTGGCCTGTGAGTAGACCTCTGGTGTACCCTTACAGCAGGATGAATTGATTAGGGTAAGCTTATTTTATTGTGTGTGCTTCCAAGTGCTTATTTTGTGCTGCATGTATGGGCCTTTTGCTGTGCCTTATGTCTTGGAAGTCTTTGTTTCAGTTCGTTAATTATGGCATTATTACAATACTTCAGTTTTGTTATGCAGTTATTTGTATTTTAGTTGAAGTGTATGAGTTTGTGTAAGATGATTATTATGTGATAAACCCCTCTGTGCAGCTGAGCAAAATGAGTACAGAATGGGATGTATCTGCCAAAGCATCTCATATTTTAATTTCAACTGTATCTTCATGTTAAAACTTTTGCATACCGTGTAGTGTATTAGAACATAAAATAAGCAAACAAACAAATTATTAACACTTTAAAAAAGATGCTAGTGCCAAACGCGTTTCAACCTCAAGAGGTTTAATTTTAAACCATTTTGATTAAATGAATTAATCTCCCTCTTGAGGTTGAAACACATTTGGCACTAGTGTCTTTTTTATAGTGTTAATAGTTTGTTTGTTTGCTTATTTTATGTTGTATCTTCATGTGGTGTATCCCATTTTTTTCATAAAAGGCTCTGGTGATCATTATATTTGATGTGTTTGAAGTACGATTACCAAAATTTAGTAAGTTAAAATTTAATTTTTAATGCTATCTGAACTAAAATAATTTTCCTTTGTTAAAAGTTTATTGTCAGAAATATCTGTTTGTGTGCTAGATTTGGTACTTGTTCTTGTACTTTACATTATAGCCTATGATTAGGTGTTACAGTAAATGTTAAAACAT